CTAACCATCTCATCCTCTGCCGTCCTCTTCTCCTTTTCCCTTCAATCTTTCCCAGCATCAGAGTCTTCTAAATATCCAGACCCAAATAACAAAATCACGGACTAACAAAATAAAGGGATAACAGAATAATCAAAGCCAACCATTGCATAATCCATTCAAAAACCCTTCATTTTGGATTGGTTTAGTTTGCACTTTGATCCAGGGCCCAGGGAAAGAATAGTAAGGTCTACATAGAACCCTACTGTATGTAGATATTATATCTGATGCCACATACATTGTTAGATCAAAGCAACCATCTGTACTATTGGAAATTAGTTACTTCTGTTTGCCATCCCAAGCAGTTTTGAAGAACTTAGAAGAGGTCACAGAAATTTGTGAAAGATGATCAGGTTTGCACAGGCAGAGTGGAGAACAAAAGTTCAACTGATCTTTCGGAGATGGTTAATACTTTAGGTCTGATTGATTGATTGATTACATGTCATTCAGTCATTGTCGATCCTTAGCGACCACATAGATAGATTTTCTCCGTGATTATCTGTCCCTAACCTGGTCCTTCAGCCCTTCCAATGGTCCACCCATCACTACTATAATTGAGTCTATCCCCCTTGCTTCTGGTTGTCCTCTTCTTTCCAACACTATAGATCTAGCCTCTATCAAAATATCAGCAGCTTTAGATCTTTTCAATGGTATTAATGAGATAGGTTGCACCAATTCATTTTTCACTATAGGTGATCACAATATCACAAAATTTGAGACCAGTGACTTGGTTTGCCAAACAAAGCAATAAATGTACCCCTGTGAGAATTAGATCTGTCAACATTTTCTCTCCCTTTCATATTTTTAATAGCAGTCATGATTTGATTATTTTCTGATTTTTTTTCCTCAGACAAACCTTTTAGTGTTTTAAGAGGCCTGGAGGGGAGGAGCCGTTTGTGGGGAAATCAATGCAGTCATTTCAAATATTCTATCTTAATTAGGATGAAGACGTTTTCTTGCGTTGGGCATGGGGCAGTTCCCCATCCCCTTAGAAATACCTTGATTTTAATGGACTGACTGATAGGCTCTGATAGACCTGAGAGCTTAGTTTTGCTATTTTTGGAATCTACAGTTCTAGAAACTGTGGAAGAGCTGAGTCCATGGAATTCTCCCCTCCCCTTTCCTAACATCACATCTAACAAGTACCCCTTTGTCCTCCTCCACAGTCATGAGGGCTGCATGCATGGACCTCTTCTTCCTTGAAGTGAAATAGCCTGGGATGTATTTGCACTATGAAATGTATATGATATTTATAGAACAGTTTTTGCTATTCAGATATCTGGGCTTACATACTTATTAAATCATTTATATGCAAATGTGATTTTCTCAAAAGGCAGACTAAAGGTGAGCAATGAAATAAAAGCACAGTTAAGCTGCAGCGGTAAATCTCTGGCAAGCAAGAGGCACAAAGGTCTATTCTCAGCTGTGTCTACTTCAAAGGAAACCCCCGGGTTGAGCTCAAAAGGGTTGACTCTCAAATAGGAGAGTAGAGGATTATTGTGTTTGTTGACTGCCCAGAGCCTGCAGAGTACCTGTCTTGGAAAAGAATAGTTTATTTCAATTATACTTGCCTTGCCCTTGTCCTTCTGCTCCCAATCTGATTCTTACTGCACTACCTGAGGGCTTGCAGTCAGATCACCTCCTCTCCTGGGGTGTGGGATAAAGAAAAATGATATTAAAGACACAGAAGCAGCAGCAGTAAGGATTGCCGGTTGTGACAAAACCCAAATTCCAAGTGTCATGTTCCCATTGTCTGAAAAAGTAGGGGCACCCCTCATTTTAGTGGTGTATTAGGACTTATGCTCAGATTTCTTGAACATTTACTTTATATTATATGAAGGAGAACATATGGATTCTTGGAACCACTTCTCTCCCTCCCTCCCTCTCTCTATATCAGCTGTATATCAACTGATTATTTTACTCTTTTCAGCTTTGCCAGAGAGATACTTCCTATCCCTGTTTTCATTAATTGCTGTAGAAGCTGAATCACATCACTGGCATTTCTAGTCTCCTAAAGTATCTCTAGATGAAAATCTGACATGTGTTGGTACATAACTGAGTAGTTTCCAGTAAATACAGTTTTCATTTTATTTTTTAAAAGAAGTAACTGAGATGAGTCAAAACCATGTAGTGATTTTCTGGTGAACTTTAAAAATCCAATTTTATCTAAGTTCAAATAACCTACTTGATGTCTTTTCTATCAATTATATATCAACATTCTGCAAAATATGATTATACCTCAATTATAATTTATTGTAATTCAACTTTGCTTCATTAAACTGTTCTCTGCGAACAGTTACCAAGGAAGCATAGGGTTTTTTGTTTTTTTTTAGGATCTAAGAAAATGTAAAACTACAAACAGGTATCATGAGAAATTCTGAATCCCTTGGATTCATGGGCCAGAGACGGACCCAACAATAATATTTTTAAAAAGATTGGCTTTCATACTTTCTATAATGAAGATTAATAAATTTGAAGAAACCTTGGTACACAAGTTATAGGTGTATCCACGGTTAGACATGGGTTCCAGCCCCTATCTGCTGGTGTTTCAAAGGGTCTTGAAGACCTGCTTTTTGTTCAGGCCTTTGGAGAGAATGATTGAAGACCCCTTTAGCAGGTATGGGTTTGTTTTTGCTCCTGTCCAGTTCGTTGTCTTTTATTCCTTGTTCTTGTTTATTATTACATTGTCTTATTCCTTTTAATGTTGTTTACTTGTGAACCGCCCTGTCAGCCCAACAAGATAGACCAGACTAAGAAACCAATGCCATGTAGGTCAGAACTACTTTTATTGTAACAGCTGTAGTAGCAGACTCTTGCAAATCACTTTATCTTTGTGTGAACTAGGGAAGGGCTTGTCTGATATGTTTTGCTCACATTTTTTTTTTGTTGGCCCAGGCTCAAGCCCTGCTTATCTGACTGTTACCTTGGTAGTGGCTCTTCCTCCTGTCCTTCAAGCAGCCAACCACATACTGATGGTATTTTCACTTCCTAACCTATTACTCTAGGATATTATGCTAGGTTGCCATTAATTAAGTAATGTGCAAAAAGATTGGTCTATTGACTTGTGGAACATCTTTAGTTAATACAAATGATCTATGCCTGAGCATTTCTAATTCACTGCATGTGCTTTCCTACATCAAATAGATTTTTCTACCTAGGACTATTTTATGCTTATGTTTAAAGAAGAACTACAGCCCATTCTTCTACCTGGAAGCATTTAACCAAAGAATGAACACTTTTAATTGTAAAAACATTTCTCTCCATCCTCACTTCTTAAGCACTGGCAAAGTTTGAAGATATAAAACCTTTAACTGAGAATATTAACAGCCTTCTCCTTTTATATTAAATATGATCACATCAGACATACAGCCTCAGTTGTCTAGGGTTCCAGAACTTGTGTGTGTGGAAGAGGCCACGCAGTAGACGGACGATGCTGCCCTGAATTTTTGGGAGTGGGCATTCAAGGTAAATTTGTCAGAAGTACAGTAAAACTTTCAGAAATGCCATGCTGCAGAGTAGCCAAAGCCTCCTCCTCCTGGGTGTCAGAAAGCATGTGACTTTTCTTCAGAAGCACTTGGCATAACACTGACTCTACCTATACAACAAACAGCTCTGCGTTGCAATCTCTTCTTGGAAATTGTGTTAGCTCATCCATAGGGCTTCTGTACTAGTGATACATGCCAAAATTCAAGTGCTTTGTGAAAGGAAAAAAAAGTCGATCTTCAGAATGATGTTGAGGTTGAGATACAATTGCAAGTTATGTTTGCCCAAAATAAATATATCAGAGAAACCTAATTCCCTGTCCAGTGTGATTTTTAAGGACAGTGGGAAAGTACCATTGGGGAAATCACTTTTCTTCCATTTTGGAAACAGAGCAGCATATAAGCCAAATAAATAAAATAGGAATAGAGAGCTAGGAGCAGAGAAGGATCTGAATACAGATCAAGTCAGAAGTCTTCATATACTTTGGCACCTTCCTACCAAGAAAGATAACAAATCAAGAGCTTTCAAACAAATGTACTGGAAGTGACACCAAAAAGTATCACTAGGGAAATTACTTGCCTCCAGTTCTCTAGAAAGGACACCACAGAACAGCACATCAGAGCCATAGAATCAGTGCCTTGCTGGGAAAAGGATTGTTAAGTGTCTGGGACCTAGCAAAATGCAACCCCTACCCAAATGAACTCCTTTCAAATATAATGTACAACAGTTCTTTAAATAAAACTATAACACAGATCAAGGGTCAGAATTTTATTTAAATTGCATCATTTCCACAATGCTCATGAAATACAGATTCTACAATGTTTTAAATGTAGACCAATAGACAATTATTTCACAAATGTATAAATTTATACTTCAGCTTCCCTAACTTGAATATACATATAAGAGGAGATTTGTGTCAGCATTTGATCTGAATTATAGCAAGAAAAAAAAAAAGTCTTCCGGTTTGCTGCTTATGAAAATTAAGGTTATACGTGGAATAATATCTTATGTAAGCTCTGTCACACACAATCAGTAAACTTACCCAGAAGAAAATGATAAAAAATGACTGTAATTTTAAATTTGTCTCCATGATCAACAAAAAAAGCAAACTAAACATTCTCCTCAGGGATACCATTCAGCTCAGTGGACAATAAAAGCTCCCATTTTCATAGCTATAACACATGAAGGACTCGAGCAATAAAAAGGAGCATTGTCATTTTGCAAGATCAGATTACACTGACACCAGTGGGAAGTATGTGATTTGATGGCAACACCCTAATATCAACTTACTTGCTTACTGTTTCTCAATAATAGGCAAAGCAGTTTAGGATGTGAAGGTGAGTCTGCCCTTCTCAGATATGAATAAACCGAGGACTAGGTCACAGAAATGGCCTACCTGTAGTTTCTCCTCTACCTCATATGTTCAGCTTGGAGGTCTGAATGACAGAAGCTTCCTTGAAAACATCTATCAATGTGATTTGGATCTCTAATAAAATAGGGTATAATGCCACAAAGAACGATGCTTTCATTCAAGCAAATGCAAGTACAGATCCTTCAGATCACCAACTAAAGTCAGGGCAGTCAGAGAAAGCAACAGGTGGGTTTGTAGTCAGTCTACTTTCAAACTCTTACAGGTTCAGAACTTGATTCAGTTTGAAGTTCTCCTCAAGTTCAAGTGCATACATGAAGAAGCCTTCTGCCTTTATTGCTTCAATTGCTTCAACTGCACATAAACTCTTGAAATGATGGATAACAGCAGAAAAGTTAAAGACAGATTCACTAGGGTTCATTTTCGTTGGTAATACAGGAAGTCCTCAGAGAAATAAAGCTCTTGTTCACAAGCTAAGGAGGGTCCCTTCTGAGCTTCTTGTTCTTCTCACTATGCACCTGAGGGCTATACCCTCTCTTATCTGACCATTCCCTAGGCAGCATCTCTTCCCCCCATCTCACAAGGTCTTTCCCACATACCATTACAGATTCACTCTAATTTGCTCTGGTTACTGTCTCACTCCTGAATCTTTCAAGAAGATGATGAGAAACATCAAGAGCAATAGGAAAGACATCCTGTTCTATACTTATCACATAAGTTATTATTATTTTGTAAAAAGATGTGGCCTAATTATAGTTGCAAGCAATTGGAATATCGATTCAAGTAGGGGAGTGGGGGATAAGGCAATTCATAGGATTAAATGAAATTAAAGGGAAATATATTTAAAGTTTGCTGTTTTTATAACAGAAGTGGAATGTAACCAGAACAAACAGCATAAATTTTTGTCCTCAAGTAGGACTGGAGCATTTATCCCTTGAAGCTTTTTCACAGAAGTGACATGAAAGTTAATAGGCTTCCCCCCTTCCCTGGCAGCCCACAATTGCCAATGACCAATCAACTGGGGAGCAAACATTTTCAAATTCTCCAAGTTTCCACCAAGAAGTCAGGTCTTCTTGGAACTCCCACCACCACCACTATGTTGCCACAGGAAGTAAAAAAATAAACAAGAAATGACAGCCATGGTGTCTAGAAAAGCCATCCTTTCCAAAGGTACTTTAGGATGACATCTCTGTTTCAAAAAAAGGGAAGGGATAGCTGACTAGGGGAAGTTAGTTTAGCTCCAAATTAAGCCACTCTGGATTAATTTATGGGTTATTTGACTGCCTTAGGTGTCGCTAACCCTGTCATTTAAAAGGCTAGGAACAATGCACGCAAATGTGCACCTTGGGATAAATGGGCATGAAACGTCATATTAATTTTCACTGACTTTTTTTTGCTATATTTGTAAAGTGATATGAAAATATTATGAATTCACAATAGGGAAAATAAGAAACTGATTAAAACCAAGCTGACCAATTTGCCCAACCTATGACCTCCAGGCCCAATCTGAAGGGGCTACTTTTAATCTGGTTGTAGTTTGAAGTAGCTATTTCTAAATACATAAATCAAAACCCTTGGTCTTGCAAAAGTAATGCGTGCAGTAACCTAGATTTCTGCTGAAAAATTAGTGAGGACTCTGCATTCATACTATATTGGCAACTGATATACAAGCCATACGAGAAATAAAACTGGAAATACACATTTCCAGAGAAAAGGCTTTGAAAATAAAATTTTTTTTTAAAAGAGAAAATGCCACCACTTTCTAGTTAATAGCAGGATATCTACCACGTGTCTATGCTTTGTGTCTGTACTACAAGCAATTTTGCATTGTCTAAATGAAAGACAATGCTTACTAAGCAAAGTTAATTATAAAAACACATTAATATTGCAGACATAGCTACTATTGCGAGAAAGGTCTTCAAAGCTGAGGAACATCCAGATTCCACATGGTCTGCTCAGTTTTCACAATAGAATTCCTGGCCCAGGACTGTAGTTCCTTTTTGCAATAGTAAGCTTCACAGGTATCTTCAGAGCCCACAGAAAATCATAGAACTGAGATTCTTGATATAGCATTTTATGAACCGAAGTCAAGAGTCTGGAAAAGCCTTTATGATAGAGTCATAAGCAGGAGGTGGAGTTTGCGTTGAATGGCAGACACGAAGACTGTTGTTTGACCAATTGAAATCTGGATGAGAGAAGCTGTTGGTGGAAGTTCCAGTAAGTGTGGTGGTGGTGCTGGTAGGTACCAGAGTAATCAACTGACTCTCAGTTTCCACAGGAAGTGGAGGGCATTGGAGAAAGGGGTGAAATGTAGAGGCCCGAAAACTTGATTTTCTTGGGAAAGAATTAGCCTGGTCTAAAGACGCTTGCCTTTGGAAGGTGAGACTGGCTAAGCTGAGATTGCTTCGGCGCTCACAGCTGCTGTTGCGGTAGAACCCGGGCCTGCTGGCAGTGCATCCATGAGCGGCTCTGGAACGTCGGCTAGATGATGAGGTACTCCACTGGGAAATGTGGGCACTAGCTCTACGACTAGACAGGCAAGTCAAAAGAGCCCAGATTATGCTTCCAATGACAAGTCCAATGACCATAGAAACAGAAAATGCTATTATTATTTGATCTAAAAAGGAAAAACAATTGTGAGGGAGTTAATAATAAATCTAATGAAAAAATAGGACATTTTTGCTAAAAACATGCAGCTGGTCAATAGTACTTACAGTACACTTCTCATACAGAAGTGATTTTCAGACAAACAGTCCAGATTCATCCAGCCTGTTGCTCTCCAAATGTGTTGAGACTAAAAGTTCACGTATCTCCTTCCTGCTCTGCTCTGCCCTGCCCCACCCACTCCCCTGGCCAATAGCCATTCTAACTGAGAATCCTGAGAATTAATCCCAATACATCTAGAGCAATGGTTTCCAGCCTGGTCCAAAAGCTTTGGTGATTCATGAGGATTGGTCCCTACTGGGTACCAAAATAGTTTTTGTTTTTAATGGCTATATTAAAAACTGTCTCCCAAGCTTTGAGCTGGAAACACCAAATTCTCAAGAAATAATCTTGTATGATTTCAGCCACCTATCATCATCATCATCATCATCATCATCATCATCATCATCATCATCCAATTGGGGGAATTGTTAATGCCATTTAGGGGAAAAACATGTGTCATCTTGCTTGGACTTGTGGTCCCTGAGTAATATGGAGTTCTTTAAAAGCTTTCAATAATCTTGTAGTGGTCACATAAAAAGAAAGAGTCTGGAACCACTGACCTAGACAGCTCCAGATTAGGAAAGATTTATAGACTTAATATACTCTAGAAGGGAAGAGGATGCAAGATGGCAAAGAGGCATTATACTCTTGAATTATTAGTTTTGCTAAGTTTGTTGGTCAGTTAACAGAATAAATGAACATGAAAAAACTCCATAAATATGTACAGGCCATAATTCACCAACCTTATTTTGTAAAACAACGTATTGAAGAAAAAGAAGAAAAAAAAGAGATGTTTGCTACATTTGTATCCTGAAACACTGGATTAATTCTATTAAATATGCAAAGCTAGTGTGATGGAATGTATCTATGGAGGGGGAGGTGGTTTGATGGAATACAGTAGAGATCCAAGTTCTCAGGAAGGAGGGAGCGCATTCCAGGAGGGAGGGGGGGAAGACAAGAGGCAGCACAGTCCAGAGCAGGGGCGTGGGAAGAAGAAGAGACTTAAGATAGCCACTCCCTAGATTCTCTCAGAGTATATCTATTAGGTTAGCATAGTACAGGTTTAGTATGGCAAGATTCTGTCCGTATTGTGTAAGCAATAAAGAACTGAACTTGGCTGGATTGTTTCCTTGTTGTTCTTGGGCTAGGCCTGACAGGTAGTGTCCTTTGTCATTTATATTCTTCATGGCTTGTTGATGTATTTATTTAGATAGATTTTTGATTTTTTTCTTTATTTATTGCAATGACAAAATAAGAAATAATGGTAAGCCTAATACAGAAAAGAGAGGGAAAAAATAACCTTGGAAATACCGATACCTGAGAAAATATGTACTCTTGAAGAGAAATATAAAATTTTTACATCTATATTCAAAGGTTTTACTGAGATGTGAGAAAAGCACAGATAAATCATGGAGTCCTTGGGGTTCTCTGAGCTTGGTTGTTTTCTTGCAAACGCCTCATTACCTGGCTAGTTAACATCTTCAGTGCTAAATTAGCAAGCTTTCAAATAAAAGAACCCTCCTCTGTTTTATTTATTTTATTATTTAAAATATTTCTATACCATTTCTCATTCAAAAAAAAAAAATCAGTGCAGTTTGTAACAACATCCAGACAATTTGAACTATAGGTTAAACAACTGATAAAAGTAGTTTAGTTTATTCTTTTTGATTAGTCTAAGAACCATATCAAATAAAATAAGATAAAATAATACAGCCTATTGGGATATTTAAAAATATATACATTAAAACATTGTATAAAATGTAGAACCTAAAATATTTGCTAAAACAGCAATAGCAGAAAGAAAAAAAACAGCAATAAAAAGTTAAAAATATCAGCAGCATTAGCACATTATTAAAAAAAGTTGATATCTTTAAAATGTCTTTGCGGGGGCTGAAGAAACAATGAAGGCCACACCAGATGAGGATACCATTACAAAGTCCAGGGCCTGCCACTGAAAACATTTGCTTCCTATAGGCACTCATCACCCATAAGCATAACATGGGAGCACCAGAACAGCCCTCCAAAGGTCTTCAAGGATAGGAAGGATCATATGAGAAGTGGTGTTCTTTCAGCTACTGTGATCTGAAGCCACGGAGAGCTTTCATAGCTAATATCAGGATCTTGAATTGTGACTGGAAATGAACAGGGAACTAATGAAGATCATAAAGAACCATTGTGTGAGGTGTTCCTATTACTATTACCCACTTCTAGTCAATAATGTTGCCTCAATATTTGGTACTACATTTTTAAAACTTTCTTCAAGGGTAGCCTTATGTATAATGCACTGCAGTTATCAACTTTTAGGAAAACTATAATAAATAGTGCTATTTTAAAAGTGTGAAGTTTTGAAATTTAAAGCTGTTCTGCTGGAACAGAATGGCTACAATGGAAATTAAGCTTAATGAGCTCCTTATTGAGCTCACTAAACACACTATTTGTGTATATCACCAAACCATTGATCCAACCAACCTAGTATAATCCACTCTGATTTGCAACAACAGTTTAGAACTCAGTACATTTAGTGTGCATTTAAAGCATAGGGAACATTTGTAATGATAAGTCCACTGATGATAGTTTACTAGTTTTGACCCAGGAATTTAAAGGGGAAATAAAAATTTTGGCTTTGGCTGGCAAAGCTTCTCATGGGTGGAATTTCACTCATCACTTTTCAGAGATTAGTTGTGCTAATCTATTACAGCAAAACTGTTTAAATTAAACATACATGTGCCATAAGATACTTTGATAATTTTGCTCTCCAGTGTTCAATGAACCTACCATTTCTCTGTAACATGATTGTGGCAACATTGCCCTCTACTGGAAATTTGCTTGAATGGAGCAATCAGGTACAAGTGTATGAAACAGTACAAATATCCATTAGAAAGAAATTTATTCCCCTAACCTTCTAACAGAATTCAGAAGATTCTGAATATTCTTATATCTTAGACAACAATTCAATGGATATGTTTTCTTTGTAATCCTTCCTAGCACTTCCAGTCTAATATCACTGTACAGTACAACTGTTTTATTTTCCTGCAAGACAGAAGTGACAGAAAAAACACATAAAGCAGTGTTCCTCAACCTTGGCCGCTTTAAGCTGTGTGGACTTCAACTCCCAATAATTCCCCCATGCTGGCTGGGGAATTCTGGGAGTTGAAGTCCACACAGCTTAAAGCGGCCAAGGTTGAGGAACACTGACATAAAGGTTACAAATGGAAGATGAGAACATTTCATTACCTCATGGAATTTTACTAATGATACAAGATAATTACACCATTTAAATGGT